GAGAGTGAAAGATACAGAGAGAGAGAGAGGGAGAAGGAGAGTGAAAGAGAGAGAGAGAGAAGGAGAAAGAGATTCCAAGAGAGATGAAATATGATGAATTTGTGACTCAAAGAACACCACATAACAGAGAACAAGCAGACAGGGATTGATGGCACCCAGTTCATGACAAATATCAAGCTTAACAGGCAGGATTCGTGTACAGGCAGTCCTCGACTTACGACAGTTCACTTAGTGACCGTTCAAAGTTACAACGGCCCTGGAAGAAAGCGACTTGGGGCCATTTTTCACCCTTACGACCGTTGCAACATCCCCATGTTCACGTGGTCAAAATTCACATGCTTGGCAACCGGCTCCTATTTATGACGGTCGCAGCATTCCGGGGCCATACAGTCTCTTTCTGAGACCAGCGAAGTCAATTCACTTAACGACGATGTGACTAAACTGAAGAACTGGCCAGAGAGGTCGCAAAATGGGGGCCAAACGCGATGCCTTGCTTAGCAACATGCTCAATGGCGGCCGTAAGTCGAGGACTACCTGTCTTGGCTTAACCCAGTTCCGTACCAGGTAAAAAAAAATCATTTTTTTGTTTACTTTCTAGGTGCAAACAGAGACCTAAAACTTTGAGTCTTGGTAGTTTCAACTCTCAGAGGGGAAAAAAAATGGAGAAATGTGGTCCAGATACTCGACTTATAAAACTGTTCATTTAGCGACTGTTCCAAGTTACCATGGCGCTGAAAAAAAAAAGGGACTTCGGGCCATTTTTTCATACTTAGGTCCCAGGACCAACATTCAGCCGCTTGGCCACTGGTTCGTATTTATGACGGCTGCAGCGTGCCCCCTTTGCGACCTTCAGCAAGATAACATTTTGGACTCGGTTGTGGTCGTAACTCCAGGACTACCCGTGTACTTGCAAACTGAGGGTGCCACCAATCTGGCCTGCTAGAGACACGCTTGTCCTCTGCTGAATTCCCCATTGTGGGGAGGGGGCATGAATTTTAACTTTTAACTATTACTAGCTCGATCCCCATGCTTCGCTACGAAACTATGTGGTAGGGCTTAGTTTTGGGGGAGAAAAATAAGAGGGGGGGGGGAATTCTGCCTCTGCCTACCAGCATCCATCAGTATTCATCTGATGGACGCTAGGTCAGTGTGGAAGAGAGTGGAGGGCTGTTTGGAACCTGAAACAGTATTTGCTGGGTGAGCAAGCAAGGAGACAGCAAGGAGCCTGGGCGTGGCTTAGCTCAACTGTTCTGGACTAAAGCTGCTTGGTGCTGTGAAACTGAAACTCCTCTGCTTGCGTTTTGCCTTTGGAACAGATTTCTTTTCAGGTAGGGAGGGGGCGTAGAACTCCTTAGCACCAGAGCACGTTAATAGTAATAATAATAGAGGAAATACTCCGAGGGTCATTTTGAAAAATCCTTTTTTAGTGAGAACTCAGAAGCCAAGAGGAACAGACGTGCCAAATTTCAAGTTTGTAGCCTTTACAGTTCTGGAGATTTTGTGATGATGCAAGAGGGGTATTTCCCTTTTATACAAATAGATATATCTTAGTACTAAGAATGAAGCATCTACAGAAATCAAAACCACCCCATTCATAGCTACATCTGGTATTTTGGACAGCGCTTAACAAATGAGGTAATACTTTCCGCCTCTGAATTCCTTTAAGGATCAGAGAGCCAATAGTTTATCCGATTAGCCAGCCCATTATACCTACATAACTCACAACAAACACATTCTTTGTAGGGCTTATCACGAACGCACATTGTCACCCAGAATACAGGTTTAACTTTTATCTGATTGCAGAGGTTCAGGGATGGGATCTGTTTCCCTTCTGCCTTGAATCTTACTCCGCACCTTGCCTGTTATAACAGTGCCAGCCAGGTCTTATCTGCGGCATGAATCCAAAATGAATCCTTGCAAGCTTATTTGATATCCGAAGGTCAATAGAAGCATCCAAAATCGAAGTAGGATCTGCATATAATATTGGGGGGGGGGGGGGGGTTCAATAAGAAGAGAACGTTTGCAGCTCAGGGTTGAACTGGGCTTGGCTGTTTTCTTGGGAGAGTTTTTCACAACCCAACTAGGGAACATCACCAGTGCTGGAAGGAGCTTTGCAGAGAAGAGAGAAGAGGTTTGCAGAGAAGAGGAAGAAGAGAAGAGGAAGAGGAGGAGAGGAAGAGGAAGAGGAGAAGGACAGGAGGTGGAGGAAGGTTGTGGGCTCCTTGGTGGTCTCTGAACTGGATGGTTTCCTTGCGAACATTTGGGGAGAGGAGGAAGAAGAAAAAGGGAGGAGGTTGGGGTCCTTGATGGTCTCTGAGCTAGGTTGTTTTCTTGGAGACGTTTCATGACTCAACTGAGGACCATCATCAGTGCAAGAAGGGGTGGAGGTGTGCTCTCTGTTTATGTACTAGTAGCTCAGTGTTGCTGAGAGCATTCTTACGAATTCCTTAATTAGGTGCTACCCTACCCTTCAATTAGGAGGTGCTCACCAGTAATCAGCACCCCATAAGCAGAGATTACGCCCAGCATTAGGATCAGGACAACTTCCAAGCAGTACACAAGATGCTGATCCAGGAACTACCAAGCAAACAGCCTAGTGAAGCAAGCACCAGAAGACCCCCTCACACCATGGCAGTTATCTTTTTGACCTGCTGCCATCTGCACGGCGCTTTAGGTCAATAAAATCCCACACCACTAGACTAACAAATAGTTCCTCTCCTCCCTCTTGGGCCATCCAAAGCGCAAATAAATACAAAGTCACTGCCTTTATCAAGATGTGAAATCGCAATACCTCATTCAGAGGTATAAACAACATATTACAGTGCCATCCACCTCTTGTGTATGATACTCGACAAAGCAAAGTCAGTCAGTGTTGGATGTATATTTTGTGGATATTTGTGGATATTGTACTCTCCAATTGCAAATGGAGACGCGGGTACTCTATTTTTCTTATCTTCATTTTTAAGTGCTCTGGTTTTACCGTATTGCGAACAGTTGCTGGGGTGCATCCACAGTTTCGTTGTACTTGTACAATGACAATAAAGTTCTTCTTCTTCTTCAGAATCACTTCAAACATTGACAGGACAAACCAACTTTGATATAAACGGAGAGGAAAACTTTGTAGCGCTGATGACAGTCCCTAGTTGGGTCATGAAACGACTTGAGGAAAACCATCCAGCTCAGAGAATAACTCCACAGTCCTCCTCTTGCCCTCCCTCTCCCCCTCCCATCCTCCTCTCTACAAACCCCACTCCCCCCTTACAACTGACGCTCCCTAGTTGGGTCATGAAACGTCTCTTGAAGAAAACCCAGCTCAGGAAGAAATAGGACCCCACAGGCTTCCTTCTTCTCCCCCTCAAGCCCCTCTGCCTTCTAGCACTGATGGTGTTACCTAAATGGGTAATGAGACGTCTGCAGGAAAACCACCAAACTCAAAGAGCAAAAAGGACCCCACAGACTTCCCCCTCCTCACCCCTTCTCCTTTCCCTACACTCTGCAAGCCCTCCTCCCTTCTAACATGGATGATGTAAACCTAGTTGGTTCATGAAACGTCTGCAACAAAAACCACTCAGCTCCGAGAGCACCAAGGACCCCACAGTCCTCCTCCAGCCCTTTTCTTCCTCTTCCCACTCCTTCCTAGCACTGAAGAAGTTACCTAGTTGGGTTATGAAGCGTCTGCAAGGGAATCAACCAAGCTCAGAGAGCATCCAGCATCCTGAGGTTCCTCCTCTTCCTCCTTGCAAGCTCCAGTCCCTTCTAGCACTGATGATGCTACCCAATTAGGTCATGAAATGTAAGAAACCTACCACGCTCAGAGACCCCCAAGGACTCCACAGTTCCTCCTCCCTGTAAACCCCACTCCCTTCTAGCACTGATAATATAACCTAGTTGGGACACAAAATGTCTGTAAGAAAACCAAGCTCAGAGAGCACCAAGGACGCCACAGTCCTTTTCTTCTTCTTCTTCCTCCTTCTCCCTACAAACCCTCCCCCCACCTAACCCTGATCAGGTTCCCCAGTCGGGTCAAGAGACATCTCCAAGCAAAATCAACAAGTAAAGGACTTTACTGCCTATAAAAAGCCCTCCTGCCCACAGAGGAACTATTGGAAGAAAAGAGGAAGGAAGGAAGGAAGGAAGGAAAAGGAAGAAGAGAAAGAAGACAACAGAAAGAGAAAGAAAAAGAAAGAAAAAGAAATTAAGAAATGAGAGAAAAAGAGAAAGAGAAAGAAAGAAATGGGAAAGAGAATGAAAGAGAAAAAGAAATGAGAGAAAGAATGAAAGAGAAAAAGAGAAAGAAGAACCAAAAGAAAAAGAGAAAGAAAGAAAGAAAGGAGAGAAAGAGAGAAAGAATGAAAGAAATAAGAGAAAAAGAAATGACAGAAAGAAAATGAAAGAGAAAAAGAGAAAGAACAGAACCAAAAGAGAAAGAGAGAAAGGAATGAGAGAGAAAAAGAATGAAAGAAATGAGAAAGAGAGAAAAATGAAAGAGAATGAAAGAGAAAAAGAGAAATAAAGAAATGAGAGAAAAAGAGAAAGAATGAAAGACATGAGAAAGAGAAATGAGAGAAAGAGAATGAAAGAGAAGAGAAAGAAGAACCAAAAGAGAAAGAGAGAAAGAAATTAGAGAAAAAGAGAAAGAATGAACGAAATGAGAAAGAGAATGAAAGAAAGAAAAAGAGAGAAAGAAGAGATCGGGAAGAAAAAGAGAAAGGGAGAGAAAGAAATGAAAGAGAAAGAAAGAGAAAGGGAGAGAAAGAAAGAGAGAGAGAGAGAAAAGGAGAGAGAGAGAGAGAGAGAGAGA